TTTCAAAGATGTAAAAGAGACAGACACAAAGGTAGAAAAAGGGTAAGGTGAGTGATGTGGAAGGGGTCGAGTATGACAAACAGTGGGGCCATGGTATTTTGAAGTGAAAAGTCAACTGCCAGTTAATAGACTTTTTTTGCCGTAAGAGTATACTTTGCTCAGGGTGCACCACGTGAAGGTAAGTCTATCGCACACCCCAAGTTATTGAATGTTGTAAGCTCTGCTTGATGCTTTCCCAGATGTTGTGCTTTCTCAACCTTGGAAGTGGAAATTAATTGAAATTACAACACCAATTGTCGATAATTAGAGTACGCCTTGCTATATTTATTTAAGTCTCACCTCTTAATATTCCTTTTCCTCTATATATATATATATATATATATATATATATCTTTTAAACGAACTTAATTCTTTTTTTTTCATTTCCATAGGTTTCGGGGTTATTGTTGCCGAAGGTGGTTTTCGTGCCCTCTGGCGAGGTAATGGTATGAATGTGCTGAAAAATGGTCCTGAATCTGCCCTTCGCTTCGGTTTTCATGGCCAATTTAAGGAACTTCTCTTCCCCGACGCGAAGGAACTCCATCCCTTCCAAAGACTTTATGTTGCCAGTCTCGCTGGTGCTTGCTCCTTGACGTGTACTTATCCTATGGAGGTTAGTCCCCTTTCAATCCTTGTGTAACTGCCCTAAAATACCATGTTAATTAAGGGGAAACTTCTGTATACTAAAGGCAAGGGCTTGATAGATTTAGATTTGTGTACAGTATCCAACATGATTACTTCTTACCTAAAAGTATGATTTACAATTTTGGTGTTGACAAGTAGGTATACTTAGCAACGGGGTTGGGGGTTTGTCGTATCTGAAATGCTGTGTCTCCTTGAATGTTTGAAGTTGAGAATCCGGTGCTCTAAGGCGTCTTCATATGACAGTTCATCTGGTAGTCGAATTTTGCCTAATAGCCTAGTTTTTCAATTGTTCATTTCCGCATTTATACAAAGATGTGGTGTTTGTGTTGCTAGTCATTTATGTAAACCAGTGTTCTTCTAATTTTTAGATGGTTTTGAAATTGTCGTGATGTATCATTTCTTTTAAGTCCCTATTTTGTTGGCTATTAATCTCCATGCAATCACTCTTTGTAGATAGTGCTTCAGGATGCTAAGAATGAAAGTGGATAACATCATCCTCTTGGGATGGCATGTCCCAAGTACGTCTTTGTGTGCTTGCTTTTAAGTTTCGTACTCATTACGGTGTGTGTATTTATCTCTTTCGAGGTGATGAAAACCCGAATGGCTCTTCGCAAGACTGGAGATCCCAACTCACTCATCATTTGCATGAAGGACCTCTATAAGCAGGGTGGTTTGCGCAGCCTCTACCGCGGTTATTCGGTGAGTATGTTGAGCTACGTTCCCTACGCCGGTCTCGAGCTCTCCTTTTTCGAGCTCTTCAAGCGCCGCTACATGGAGTACTTTTGTGGCTACAAACCATGTGATCCTATGCCCCATTTGGCCACACCCGTTGCTATCGGTATCATAATCTGCTCCTCCTTCATCCCCATGCTCATTGTGTATCCAGCCAATTTGATGAGGACAAGGTTCCAAGCATGTACGGCTGTGAAATCGCCCAGTATTTTCAACATGTTCATGGGAATTCTACGGAAGGATGGACTCGCTGGCTTGTATAGGGGTTATCTAACGAGTCTCACGAAAACACTCCCCTCGGTTACGATCAGTTATTTGACTTTCGAGGCTGTTATGGAGTTGATGGGCCTTCCCACACTTGGATCCAAATAAGCGCCTTATTGAGATCTAGATTATGTAGTCACATCACTTCTTCTTTTTATTGTATATATTTAGCTTCGCCTCGTAGAAACATAGATGTAAATTCAGCTTATATTTTGTGTACAGTAAAGTTTATTTTTCTGGAAACTGATTAGTGTTCTCCCTGGCCTTTAGCCTGTGCTTTTAGGTTTAGCTGTATTGATGGGTGGTGATTTTCGTAGCTTTTGAGTAGTCAAGTTTTAGTATTATTGGTACGGTTCATTGCTTAGCAGACTACTGTAGCTAAGGCCTTAAACTGATCAATTTTGGCATATTTTAGGCCTTTCGAAAGGTATGGCTGATTACGCCACTATTTATCAGAATGTCATCCGTCACCTAAGGCTTGCGTTTTACTGTCTCAGTAATTGAACTTCTAACTCCAATTGTTTTTTGCAGAAATTAAATGAACCAAGGCAGAAAAGTTGCTTTGGGGTGAAATTTTTTAATGGGCCCCATATTGGATTCAAATTAATCAATGTTGGACTAAAAGGAAGATGGTTCCAAAAATTATCTCTATTCAGACGTGCTTTTCAGAGCTAGTAACTTGTAGTGGATGCTCCGCAATTAATTCTCGGATTAACCCAAACATTACTCTTGATCAAAGTTCACTAGTTTAGAGTTGTTCCCAAAAATGATGAAGTAGGATTAAATGTAGGTTTTGCTGTTAGTAGCATCTATTGCTAACATGGAAATATGTCGCAAAGTTTGGCTAGTAAATTTAGTTAAGGCGACGCTACCTTACAGTAATAATTGATTACTAATTGGCTGAATGGTCTCGTGTTCGTATTTACTTGCTATGAGATCAATAGAACAGATGTATATTACGGAATGTTTGATCGGCAAACTTACTCCAGATATGAAACTTAATGGTTTTCTGACCTCCATAACTATAAGTCCAATCAATTAGGGCAGTAGGAATATCTTAATGCCAAGTTTCAGGACAATTAGGTAGAACTTTTAAATGTCATGTCTTGATAAAAACGGAGAAATACTTTCAGAGAATATACTGGACAATTCATTATTCGCTCATACTGTGAAAAAGAGCATTTCAATCATAAAAAATTTCAAGATCTACTCAATTGTCAAAAGATCAATACAAAAAGTTCATTTATGAAATCAATTTTACGGCTAATTGTATATATTAAATATATATGTTTCATTTGAACAATTGATTTAAATTACTATAATGTTTTGAAAGCAAAAAATTATACTAAATTGTAAATAATTACGAATAACAAGCAAAAATGCCTTTCTTTACAAAAAAATTGTCAGGTGAGTAATTTGTTATAACAAGCTGATTAAAGAGCGCCTTACATGTAATCATCGGCCCCAGGTATTCCTTTGCTAGAAATGGGAACGAGCTCGTCTAAGATTCTGGATCCTGAGGAAGTAGCTGATATCTCCACGGAAACCGGATGTAATTAAAATTTTTAATTCTCATTTTTTTCAGTTACCCCAAAACAAATCCATCGTCTTTATAATCGTTACTCCGCCCTTGACCGATCCCATGCTGGTTACTTACAGTATGTTTTATTATTTGATCTATTGTAATTTCTTAGACGTCAAGACTTTCTCCTTATACCGGAATTAGCTATCAATCCCCTGGGTGATCGTATTATCAATGAATTCTTTAAAGGGGGGTAAGGCAATGGTCTTCAATTTCTTGTTTCGTACTTTTAATTAATTCAATCCATTACTTCCTTGACTTTATTTCTTTGAAAAATTGGCGTTGCTTAAATTTTCATTTTTTTCTAGGGAAGAATTGAATTTTCGAGATTTCTTGAAGAAGGTTGCTCGTTTCCGGAAGCCAAGTTCAAACGGTGTTACTGAATACAATAATCGAGAAGCTAAGCTCCAATTCTTATTTGGCATGTACGATCTTGATATGGACAATAGAATCTCTAGAAGTGAACTTCTCAGTGTACTACAAATGATGGTTGGAGCTAGCGTTACCATGGACCAGGTATTTTATCACTTTTCCTACTCGCCTATTTACTTAATTATAATAATTTGCTAATCCTAACCTTTTCATGTTATTGGGGAATCGTGACCAGTGGAATTTTGCTCTATTCCATCACAAGTTTTCACATTTCGTTTTTTGATATTCTATTTTTAAGAGTACCTCAGACTTATTTTACTTATTGTAGATTAACCGAATTGGTGAGCGAACGATGGCTGAGGCCGATGTAAATGGTGATGGCTATATTACTTATGAAGAATTCAAAACTGTAAGTGTCCTTTTATTTACCGAAATTTCAAGCGTATAATTTTTAACTGGTTACTGGAGGTAGTCGATTTTTCAATTTTGATTTAAATTATTGGTTATTATTTCCATTGTTACAAAGCTGTTTCATTTTGTTTTTGAATGCTTAGCCACTAATCCATTTTTATCATTTGTGTTCTTTTCGTTTTCTGTTAAAAATGACTGGACCTTGCTTGAACCTTATTTGAAACCTATGTTCCCTTGTATTTTTCGTAGTTTTGATGAACTTTTAACTTGATCATAGGCCCTGTTGAATGCCTTCCTATGTTTATGTTAAACTGCATAGTTGGTTTCTTGAAGTGTCCTTTGCGAAGGGCTTAGTGCTAATATTTTAATTGTAAACCCCCAATATTTGATAGTGCATTATTTATTTAATAATATCATTGTTGTCTTTATGTCATTCTATTTCAATTTCCTCAAGAGTAGATGCTTGTAATGTATTTCGTCTCCATGTGGTAATTATTGAGAATGTTGAGAATAATTCATTTTGTCTTTCATTGCTTTAGTTTACAATATTTGCTTTTTCTAGTAGCTGTATGCAGCGATAAACCTTGCCAAATTCAAAGCCTACGAAATAAGTTAGGAGTGCCTATCTTTAACTGCTTCTGACTGAAGTATGCATTCTTCCTTAGTGTTGTCAGTTAATTATTTAACGTTAATCTACTCCTCCCATATTTATGATCTTGACTTAAGGTATTTGAAATCATAAAGTTTTGTTGGGCCCCTAGTTGAAAATCGACCGAACCATAAGAGTGCTTATTTGTTCTAGAAACTGCGCTTTCATGTACCTCTAATGTTCTTATGAAGTGCTAAGAGTATTGAATGCTTTGCTAACACTGAGGTCTCCCTATTTTGTGATGTGGATGGGTCATTAGTGGGTCATTAACGTGCGCATTTTAGAAAAGAAAGTTAAAGGCAAAGTTCGAAGCGTGCTTTTCGCTGAATTGCTTTGACACTGACATAATGTAATTTTTCACTTGTCCAAGTAGGAATATGGCAAGACTTATATTCTTATAACAGTTGGCCTTTCTGCTTGGTTACTCAGTGATGTAATAGTACAGAGGCTTCATTCTCTTACCTGGGACCAAAGGACCAATTCTTTGATTGCTGCACAGAATATTCCAATCTAATTCCAATTGATACTGTTTTGTGATTCCGTAATTAATTTTCTTACATCTTGGAAACTTATTTGAGTAACACTTGGATGACTGATTATCTTGCCCAATGCACCAGGTTAGTGGATAAGTCCTCAGTATATATAAAGGCATATTTTTACTTTGAATACCCTATATGAACTGAAGCATCTTAGCTCGTATCTCCTACCCCTTCTTGGGTATGCAAATTGGTAATTGTGGTGTGGCATAACATAACACGTCTCCCATTCATGACAAATTATAAATAAAACAAAATTTAAGATCAAATTCTGTGATTAAAAATGTAGGGCTTCAAGTCTTTACGCAATCCGAAGTTCAGATAAATGATTCATTGACTTCAATGTCTATATCTGCCATTTATTATGGATTATTTATTTATATCAAGTGGCAGGCTTTTTAATAGTTATCATTAGCCCTTTAGTTGACTTCGGGCTTCACTGAGGGGAGAAATATCGAAGTCACCAAAAGTCGAAGTGAACTGAAAAGTGATTCACAGATGTGAAAGTGACTGACGCAAAGGTGGAGAAAAAGGTAAGGTGAGTACTGTAGAAGTGGTGGAATAGGACACACAGTGGGGGTAGTTTGAGGTCAGAAGCTAACTGCCGATTAATAGATTTTTTGCCGTATGAGTATACATATGTATATATTCTCTAAATCACCTACCAAAATTAGCCATTTTTGCTTCTTTTTTCCCATGATAATTTCTAATCCCAGCATTCTAGAATTACAATGTCAATGGTATTTTGATTTGGTAAATTTAGGAGATAAAGTTCTCTTTGTCATAAAAAACATCATCCTTTTTATTTCTCATGGGAAAACGATTATCTGTTAATATTTTTATCAAAAGGTAGGATTCACTGAGAATGAAAAGGGATAATAGCATAGATTCATGGATTCAAGAAATTTAAGATCATCTGGCCAACTACTTTTCTTAATTTGAAGTTCGATTAGATTTGTCTAATCGTTATCTCTCTGTGCATTATAGTCATACTCTATTGTTTGTACTTCTTTAGTAATTGTTATTTGACCACATTGTATTTGCTATTGGCGAGATTAGTCGTTCTAAACGCTCATTTTGAACGAAATCGATCGTCATGTCGTTTGCTTAAACCGAGTTCATGTGGGAGATGTGCTTATTCAGTCACAACACCACCACCCCATTATCCTATTGATCATTTCCATTCTTCATGAAGTGCAAAAGTCTGACAGTATGCCGCTCTTCACGTAGGTTCGATTGAATTCGCAACAACATGCCATGGTGCAGTTATAGTCGTCATCCATGGCAAATCAGACAATCAAAAAAATTAAATCTAGTTAAAAAAGAAGTTTAGAGTGGATGCCAAAGCCAACTAGGTCTTCCGTCATTTAATTTCTGGTTCCGTGAGGTTTCCACTTTTAGTGCTGGATCATTCTTAGCTGACCAACCAATCAGACTAATTCAATACATTTACCATTTCTGATTTGCTAGTTAGTTAAGATGCTTTTTTATCTCAGCTTGAATTTAGTTTTTTTATGAGAATTCTCATCAACTTATTTTTAATGTTAAAATATGCGAAAAAAGTTGGATTAGCTGCATTTATCCTTTAAGTTTTCATATTTCAATGCATGTAAGTAAATAATCTTTCTCTCATTAACCACCTCGATTTCACCAGTACATATTGCATCGATTATGTGGGCTTTTCGTCTATGCTTTTGTCTAGGCGTTGTGATTTCTACGCCTCTTGTGTGTGTGTGTGTGTGTGTTTTTGCTCAATTTTGCCAGGTCTTTAATGGTGCTTTTATCATTTCTTCAGGCGGTCGAGGGAGTGGACATCGAGAACAAGATGAGTATACACTTCTTGGATTGAAAGTACATGCGGATGCCCTCTTTTGCTCACACCTAAGATTCTTCTTCTCTCTCTCTCTCTTGTTTATAATCTTTTTTCCATGGCCTGTAAAATTACTACCCCTACAGGATGTTTTGGCCTTCAATGGCCATCCCCCCCCCCACCCCCACCGCCACCGCCACCAATAATATTATTTCTTTAATCAAGTGCTCAATTGTTCTCCATTTACTCCCCAATCTTCGTAGTAAGCCAAAAAACGTTTGATTCTTTGGTACTTTATGTAGTCACACGGCCTATTCTTTCTCGTATTTCTTTGATTGTCCTAACTGGGACGTTGATTTTCACTCTTATTGTCATTTTTTGATCATAGATGGTTCATTTTGACCCTGGTAAGTTAATGAGGACACATTGAGTTAAGAGTGTTTTCATTATCACAGTTACTATTGAGTTAAACCGAAAATAAAATAATAAGTTAATATTTGTATTACAAATGCGAATTGCAACAAAAGGTATAATTTCATACCAGGTAGCGGAGACAATAGATATTTAGTGCGATTACAGAATCGTGGATTAAAATTACAGTATTGTTTAAAGGTGATAACTGCAGAGTATTAAGGGAAATGACATTCCTTGCATTTAACAGTTCACAGCAAATGTTGAAAGTGTTCACCGTGACCTCAGCACGTTGCAACTTCTTTTAGGCAACTTTTGCTAATTCCCTTGGCAATCGTATTGGTGGATGTTCATTTCCATCTCTTCGATTGTATGCGGTTTTTTTTAAATCACCTCCGGTAGACAAATCAAGTAATTCGGGGTGGGGTGGGGGTAGTCTCTTCGCCAGAGCTTCATTCCATTGAAAGTCGTGAAGTAAGCGCCGTACCACGGTCCTGTTGGAAGAATGAAAACGCGTCCACCATCGATCGGGCTGAAACTCCACATTAAACGGTTATTTTTCATTGCATATAGGCACAATAAGGTGTTCCCTTGGATTGGGTATTGACCAATGGCGAGTGTTTTGAGAGTTCGCTTACTCTCTAAGGTGGAACCATGCTTCGTTTGTGATGAAATAGAATTGGATCCAAATAATAATAAGCAACATGAGTAATCGATCTCAAAAAGTGATTGTTTGGCACAGTCCCTGGGTTGTAATGTTTGCGTCTTCTTTCTTTTATAACTGTTTCAACATGTTCTGGTGTGATATTCGTCTGGCATTCGGTTGGGAGGATGGACGTCTTTCTGATTTTCATGCCCTTCTTCGCAATGTCTGCAAATTCGCCAAATGAAATGCCGTGGTGTCAAGTGGATTCATGTTTTTCTTCAGGCAATCAATGTGGTAATTAGACAAATGGCCAAGACGTAAACAAACTATTCTGAGAATTGGACTGGTCATTTATTCACGATGACAAATATTACACCTTACCTCAAATAAATTATTTTTTGTTTGTTTTTTTCGAGTTTATTCTAACTTCATTCTTTTTTCCAAAATTTATGTATTCGAGAATGAGTGGTAGATGATTGCTAAGGTTTTGGGTTGGAACTGAAGTTATATCATTTTTTAAAGTAACTAAGCCATTACTTATCCTAGACCAGTTTATGATACCTGCTGGCAACAGAGCTTCCATTGAGTGAGATCTAGTGAGCTCTCCAGTGTTGAGCAAGACAGTTGGCATGAAACTGTAGTCTTGGCTATTAGAGGAGATTTATTTATTTATCGCAAATGGCAGGCGTTTTGATAGTAATCATTAGCCCTTTAACCGACTTCGGGCTTCACAGAGAGAAGGAGTAACATCAAAGTGACAAAATGTCGAGCGGGTGGGGAGGCAGAATAATTATTAACAGATGTGAAAGAGACAGACACACAAAGGGAGAGAAAAGGTAAGATGAGTACTGCGGAAGGGGTCGAATATGACACAGTCAGGTCATAATAGTTTGAAGTCGGATGCCGATTGCCGATAAATAGACTCTTTGCCGTATAAATATACGTTGCCCAGGGTGCACCCTTTATTAGAGGAGATAGGTCTATA